TATGTAGATTTGTTGTACTTTTTTTAATTAAAAATATATACGAAGCTACAATATGAAATCACAGAACTTTTCAACGGTTAGCTAGCCCAATAAATATTCCATAAGTAATTATTTGGTGTTTTGATACTTCAATTTTGATATTTTTATTTTAATTATAGTATAATACTTAATTTAAAATTTTATCTATCTTATAAATATACGATAACCATAAATTTGCAACCATAATATTTTTGGTTCGAATATTTCATATCGAATTATAGTATTGAATATGTAGAAGCGATATAGAATTCTTAAATTACCATTAATTTCCAGAACTATAGTGAAGCAATCATATCTTTGTGCAAACTATAGGGGACTGGTTCTCTGAACATTTTTGTCCGGTTAAATACTAAGTTTTGAAACTCTCCTAGGGGTGTACGTGGGTCGGTTCGTTTGGGTTTAGATATTTTAATCACCTAACTCATATACCACGATTTTGAAAACACTAAATACAAACTCACCCAAATAATTTAGAATTTTAACGGTTTGTGTCCTTCATACCAAATGAACCAATTTACATGTCGCTTAACTAAGGACGATCTCATTGTCCAATCTCATCATTCTAATGCCAATCCATAAAAAGTAACCCATATTCGCGTTTGTTCACACATGTTACACATTGTCATTACTGTGACCGGTAACTTCGCTGCAACTGATTCGGTATTGCTCATCATATGGCCTCCAAACTAATAAACATATCAGGCTAGCAGTTTTATGACAAAACTCAAGCATAATGATTGCTAAAATTAAGCTTTCACGCAACACACTGGGAGTTGGGGTTGTGAACTTGGAGTAAAAGTTGATATTGGGTTTGGGAAGGGAAGTGGTGAGAGGAAGAAATTGTGTTTGGATTTGGTAGCACTTAAAGTACATGGTCCGGTTTCTTTTCATAAAATGCTTTGACTTATTTTAGTTAGAGGTATAATATCATGGTTATGTGGGATCAAATGAACCAAAAATGAACTTGGGGGATGGGAATTCCAACTTAGAAGGAGTGGATTAGATTTTGATAAACTCAAGTTCATGATTAACTGAAAGAATATTTAGATTTAGACTTTATGGTATTGAGATGTCCATAGAGAGTTTAAAACTGATCCAAGGCCATGGATTGATATTGGTTAGTTGATTGTGATTTTGAGGAAGGTGTATAAAAGTCATGGAAGTAGTTTGCAGCAAGTGAAGGCAGTGAAGAGGCAGTTGGTCAGGGTACTGATTGAACCAAGGAGGGTATTGAAAGACATAGAAGCAAAATCAGTGCAATTGAAGAGAGAGAAGTGGTACATGATCAGGATATTAATGAAAATGAAGAAGGTATTGAAGGGCATGGAAGTGAACTCGATCAGGCGAAGGCGGAGAAGGAGGAGAAGAGCATATTGATGGAATTGAAAATGAGTGTTGGTTTCATGAGCTTATTAAAACTGCCCCGAGGAAGATGAGTTGGCCAAATACAAGAAAGAGGATTGAGGAGTTGGAGATCAAGCTGACAAGAAACTCAATTGATAGAGAAATTCGGGTTCATGGAGAGAAGGTCCATCAAAGTAGCGTAGATGGAGTTGCAGAAGGAGGATTAGAAATTGAATTTTGGTTTAAAACATATACGTCGATAGATTGAAGATGGAGGGGATAAAAAGTTGGTTGTACAACGTAGAGTGGAAACTATTGGATCTTTAGGTGTTATGGTTGTTGCAACTACCACAACCTATGTTTATGTTAAAACGAGGAATCATTGATTGATTTACTAAAGTTAAGGTCGATTCACTATTCAAACTACTGGAACCTGCAGATAAGGAGTGTCTAATTTTGTGCCTCATTACTTTGATCGAGTCTATTAGTATATTGGATGTAACTCTAATTTTGTCATTTCTCTCAAGTTTTGATGGTCTCCTTTTAGTTGAGTTGTTAGCATATGTTGGTCTCCAGTGTACTAATCACTTTGATATTTTCTTAGATTTGGTGGGTAGCATAGTCACTTCCTAGCCCCCACAAGTTATGTTTCTGTTACTACCATTAAGGAACAAGCGTATTAGGCTACAGTTGGTTGAGTATGCGTGAATGTTTTCTATGCATATTAGTATGTACTTTGCTTACCTTGATTACACACTTTCGACTTCCCTATCACAGGCATGGGACCTATTGTTGATGTGGTGTTGTGGGACACCATGGTTAAATGTCTTCCAGGATTTGGTACCCGATGCAGTTGTGTTCTACTAAGTAGTGGCCTTCACATCATTATATTTGCAGGATCATGAAGGTACACAACTTCTCAGTGATATGGATATTCTTGTGCTTTTGTACAGTTATGGAACAGTTGATTGCTTCTGATATCATGCATTCAAGTCTTAAAGTTACTGGATTGCAAACTTCTGTCTGGGTAAACTTACAATGGGTGGTCTGGTTCCTCCAAAAAGATTGGGTCAGAGATAAATTAGTCTACTTTACCCTCTACAAAATTACAACATCATTTCACGCTTGCTAGTTTTTGAATAACAAGTTAAGTTGAATCTTGCCTAGGTAGTTGCTTCCTATACACGTTACTTTGGTATTTCTTTACCATTTTGTTATATCATTTTGTTATGGAGTTACTACTTATGCATGCTTTCATTACATAGTGAAGTTAACCTCAAATACTTCATGGATGATCTTTTATATGCTCGTTGCCGCAATTGCTCATTTATGTGATGCCATATACCTTAATTTCATGCAACTGGATTTCCACAATATGGTAATGCAGTGTTGGGATAGTAAAATTATATTCCCATCTTCCCGACATTTTTTCGACTATATTTTCTGACCGTTTGACGATGATTTACTTATATTTTACCTTAGGAGAACTTTAACCGTTTCTCTGGATGTGTAATGGAACTGCTCTCTTCATAGTGCCCGGCTAGCAGGTTAACTAAGATTTATCGTACAGTTCAGGATGTGACAAGTGAAGTTGAGGTCATATTCCCCTCGCCCCACCTTAGAAGGATTGCTTCTGCTGTTCTTAGTGCTAATGCTTTATTAGAGACTGACTTAATCTCCATTCTCAACGCTCTTCAAAGGAACCTATATGAAGTTATGGTAAAAGATGATGAATTTTATAATGCTTTAAAGTATTGGTGCTTTAGTTTTTGCTTTTATGGTACAACTTGAAGTGGGTACAACTTCACCTATACTCTTTTGCAAAATTCCTTTATGCTACAATTCTAATTCAAATTTTCTCGCCGGAAAACACAAGCGTTTATCCTTTCCCCTACTGGCAACCTTGATAGTGTTGTGGGTAATTATCATGAATGGTCACAAACCTTTGGACTTTGTACAAAACGGTCACAAACCTTTAATTTTGCACGTTTCAGTCAAATTAGTTTGAGTGAATAACAAAGAGGTCATTCCGTCCATTTTCATCCAAATTTCTGTTAAATCTGACCGGTCACAATTCAAGTCAGCAATTATATTAATAAAAGAAATCATCTAACCAACCGCCTGGGCTCAACTCAACCCACCCAAACTTTAAGACCCACCCACAATTTCTTCGAAAACAAATCCCCACCTCCCCATCACCATGGACAATGGTTACCTTCTCCCAGAACCAACCTCCCCATCTGTTTTTTTCTTTATAGATTTGCATCTCTAAAACCCACCTCGCCTCTTGATTTCAGAACCAAATCCCCCTTTCTCCTTCCTTTAATTGGTTCGCCTACATTTACCTTCCCATCTCTTCCTCCCTTTTGCGGTATAAATCTGTCTCCATTACGATTCTTTCAATGCTTCTAACTACTGCTCCCTCTTATATCAGTGGCTGGATTCTTCAAGTCATCAAGAGGAAGATCTTCTTGTCGAAGAGGAGGATGGCGACTAATTAGCTGGGACTGTTTAGCAGCGGAAGATGAATCGCCCCACCTCCCGCAGTTCAGCCGGCGAACGAATCGGGGGGAGGAGCGCCGACGAGGATGAGGATGGTGGACGAATCGGTTGGAGTAGCGCTAGCGAGGAGGAGGACGGCGGACGAATCGATTGGAGGAGGTCTGGTTATCGACGGCAGGAGAATCTCAAATCACCCCCTCTCCTCGCGACTTCTGGTCTGGCTTTCCCGCAAAGCTCGATTTGGGGGTAATAGTCCACATGGATAAAGGGTTTGTTCCGGCCGGTTGAATTACTGGGTTAAGTGGGCTGGTTAACCATTTTTTAATTAATATTTATACTGACGTGTCATGCTGACGGGGCGATTAGGACGGAATTTGGAACGGAATTGGACGGATTTATCATTTCGTTATTCGCTCAAACCTTTATTACCAAAACGTGCAAAATTAAAATATTGTGACCATTTTGTACAGATTGATTAAGTTTGTGACCATTTATGATAAGTACCCATAGTGTTGTTGCCAAAAGGGTTTGAACTTTGAACTTAAAACTCCAGCCCCAAGTTACCTCCTCAGTCCTCAGTGATCATTATATGGGCGTCCGCATGATTGCTGGCCTGACCTGAAAACCGTATCTCCACCGACCCGAGACTGGTGATCATTTCCCTGATCTCCTCGCACGCATGACCCTTCTCCAAGATCGACATTTCCTTTCTTCCCAACATTTGTACCGCCCTGAGACAGTCCGATTCGATCTCCCACGGCATGAATCCGTTCGCCTCTGCCACCTCCAGTCCAAACCGAATTGCCTGCAACTCCGCACACATCATGCTAGGTCGTTCTACGGTACTTATTTAGAAAACTTGAAAACAGTCCGTCCGCTACAAATTGGAGGGCTCGTCCGTTCGTTCTGAAAGTCCACCTTTTCCGTCCCTTGTTTAAGCTCACTGGTAAACTCTACTTTGCCGGCATCCTTTTCCTAATCCAAATTTTCCCCTCCAGCGCGAAACAATGAGCTTCGCCGCCTGCAAGATGATGCACTAGCCGACCGGCATTGAGTGCTGCGACGCCGGCTTCATCAAGCATTACCGCGCGGACTTCGTCTCTCCAATTGCTCCAATGCAGACCGACGACCTGGACTCCGAATGGCCTTCCAATCGAAGCACTGGCCCAATCCCTAACCTCGTCGTCACTGCCGGCAACGTTCTCGAGGTCTATGTAGTTAGGGTTCAACATGGCGGAAGCAGGGAGTCCAGAAATTCAGGAGAATCGAAGCGTGGTGGGCTGGTGGATGGGCTCTCTGGTGCTTCACTTGAGCTCGTATGCCTGCCACTACAGGTCCGACAAATTTACGTTAGCGGATTGCCGCAGGGTTCTTTTTCCTGTTTATTGGTGAGTTCAAGTATCCGATTCTGTTATAGGTTGCACGGTAATGTTGAATCAACGGCGGTACTGGCTGCAGATGGCGTTCAAAGATGCTAAGATTTCGGTGCTGGAGTTTCATGATGCTATACATGGACTGCGTACTAGGTAAGTTTATTGATGTGAAGCGGGGTTTTGTAGAGCTGTTGATAATGATTATCTGAAGACTGAACATAACCACCTCCTTTTGTGTCATCACCATTTCGTTATTGTTGCTGGGATGTTGATTCTTTTTCAGCTCTATGTACTGTTTTGAAGGTCCCGAATGGTGCCATCTGAAATGAGGTTGAGAGTGTTTCGCGGCAGGGCCGTTAATCAAAGTTCATCCACGAAGCAGATGCGGTGCTGTTCTTGTTTATGATTTGCAAATGATAATACTGAATGTTGCTCAGGTCACTATAATCAGTTCATGCAGTTAACAAAATCTTACTGTCCAACAAACTGGAATGGGACTTCTGATCAAAATGATGCAACTTTTCTTGGGGTTTGTACCATTTAGGTTGGTTCTGGTTTGATTGGAGATGATGATGCCCCTGGTTCTGGAAGTGCAATATCTGCTCGTGTCAAATCATCTGAGATTTTCAATCTTCGAGACTTGGATATGAAGCATATAAAAGGCTTCGTATTTATAAGTGGTGAGTCTTCCTAACTTAGCCCTAGTCCACAGATTTGTGACGGTCTTGATAGAAAATGTGACAACTTGTGCATACTGATATATCCTTGACTTGTTGACCTGTGTAGAAGTTCCACCTGAAGTGAAGGTTTCAAAATGTATGTGTTCCCATACACTTGGGACAAGTTCGGCGCTCATGACCTATGATGTCATGACATTGGTCCTAGTTGCTTCTACTCTACATCATAGTAAAATTAGCAAGAAAATGAATCACATAATTGTGTCTGGTGACCTTTGTATATCCCGACGATCAAAGAAGAAAATCTAGTGGGGAAAAGGAAGGTCAAAGTAAATTTGAGATTATGGTTTTGCTGCGTGGCAAATGGATTGTACAGCTTTCATTCATGATACCCAAATAACTTTGTTTTTTACAGCTTTCTCTTTGGTTGTTCCTTGTCGTAAGCTCTAGTGCTGTGTATTGAGAAGTTTGCTGAAACTCTGATAGGGAATTGCCATGATTGGTAAATCATTTTTCTTTCTGGGGAGCCGTTTGGGAGACAGTTTGCTTGTGCAATTTACTTGCAGGATCAGTATCTACGGCTTCTCCTGGCTTGAAGGAAGAGGTAATGTTATGTGATCAACTATTTCCAGTACTTTAAAGAGTTAGTTATCTCTTCCTGTTTACTTTGGAAAGTTGAAGGCAATAAAGTTGAATGCCCTATGCTTTCCTCCCTTTCAATAGGTTGGTGACATTGATGACATTCACACAGCTAAGAGGTTGAAAAGAGTGCTATGTGATGCTTTACAAGATGTGGTAAGTGGCGAGGAGCTTTTTTTTTCTATGTTTCAGCTTCAAACAATACCGAGTCAGCAAGGTTATATTAGCTCTGGTCTTTATCTTCTTATTCTTCATACAGTTTAGAGAAACTACGATGAATCTGTAAGAACTCTCTATTTTACGGACAGGCTAGTTCGGTCTCTTGAGATTTCCCCACTAGATTCTTCGTTGCGATCACTTGGCAGATATAGATATAGTCTTCTATCTGCTACTATTTGGAGCTGTACTTGGGACTTTTACTAATATCAATGTTGAGGTTCACAATGGTTCTCTATGTAATGATGCAGAAGACGGTCTCATTTGCATTGATCAATGTTACCTCTTTAAAGGACTTCTATGGTTTAACGATCAACGCTGATGCTTGGAATTGCAAAACAGAGCAACTATGAGCTGGTTAGTACTTTTTGGTTTCTTGCTTTAATTTATTAAATATCTCCCATAAAAGCAAAAACTTAGAAGGATGTTCATTTTAGAAGTTGCAAGAGAATTATGCTTCAAGCATTCAGTGATTTCCGTTATTAATTTTTTATTTATTTTTGTTTAGCTCTTGGTGTACTTTCTTCAGGTCTCTTCTTCAGATCATGGTAAAAACGGTACTTTGTCTGTTCTTCGGCAGTCAGTTCGTCGTGAAACGATTACAGAGGTTTGACTATTAATTCTTGTGTCTAACAATATGGTGAAGCAAATCTTAGTGCCCATCTGTTATTATATTATCCTAACGCACTCTTAATGTCCGGTGCAGGGTTGAGTTACCTGGTTGTAGAGGGATCTGAACTGTCTACCATAAGAATTCTCATGGCCGTAATGCTGATTCCTACAAAATGGCAGGCTTTGATGATGAATATTATGCATATGTGATTATAAGTAGTGAAACCGTTCTTTCAAACTTATATTCTAGTATCCTTTTCTCATAAATCAAATTTTGCCGATTGAGTGACATTGCTTCTTCACCTTTGCAGACTTCGAGTTGTCCAAGTCTATGAGCGTGGTGCACGAATTCTGGATGGTTCTTTTGTGACTCCAGATTTGAGCGTTAGTGCTGCCAACTCTGAATCTGGTCCTGGTGCTGAGACTTGTACAGTATTGTATGTCTCCATTGCTGACCCATAATCATATTTGCTAATAAAAATGACTGACGGGAGCATTAGACTTGTTGTTGGAGGTATCCTGTTTCTTCTACAAATAGTAAATTGTATGAGTTTGTGCCGCCTTATCCCCATAATGTTAGTGGCAGTATGGAAGCAGCTATCCATGAAAGAAATGTTTGAATTCCTAGGATTTTGTACAAATCTGCCATAAATTGTTAAAAAGTAAAAGCCTAGTATTAATTTCAGCAAAGGCCATTGTCTATTGGTCACCGTAGAGTGGACTGATGGCACAAAGTTTTGGCAATCTAATTGTGTCGATAATCTGTTTCCTTATGTTGTTAATCACAAAATTTGTGATTATATTGTTTACTACCTGGCCTGCTCTAGTTATTTGCTTCACTGTTCTCTATCATAAATCTTAACATACTTCAATTGAAACTGCAGCATACGGCTACGTGTACCATGTCTGTGAGAACTCCACCTGCCTTCCAAAGCTCAAAGAACGTAGTCTCCGTGTGCACCCTGTATCATGATAAAGGGCCAGAGGCATGGATAAGAAAGACAAGCACCGATCCATGGCTCGGCATATATTGCATTGTCTGTTATGAGAGTGGTGCCCGCGAAATATTTCATGTACTGAATATCGCTCCTGTGTTTTATGTGGATAAATTTGTATCCACATCAGGAAACTACACATACTAGTTCTGGTTCAAATGCTGCCCTTGGTGACAAAGAGAGCGACCATAACCTAAAAGTTGTGGAGTTGGCTATGCAAAGATGGTCTGGGCACCACATTCGTCCTTTTCTTGTTGGGATATTTGACCAATGGAACGGTACTGTCAGGTCACCCTCAAGTTCTCTAGGCATCACTGTGGATCAGTCTGGGACCCCGACTATGCAGAAATTGGGAAAGAAGTTGAAGGAGGAGTAAATCTCACTTACAAAATACATATAGCCCAACAATTTACCTACAACTACTCGTCCTTTAATTGACGTCCTTGATAGAGATTAGCAATAAGCACATAAGCATGTTTTAATAACTATGTTCCTACTCTCTGCCTTCTCCTAACGAACAACATAATTCTGCAGAAAACCGCTCCCAGAAACTAAAAAAGAAGTCATATTTGGCACCATAACCAAATTTCTAAAACTAGAACTAGAAGATAAAGGTATTTGAACAATGGCTAAGAGAGGTAGAGAACGAGAGTATTCATGGAGTCATCACACGTTGACCATTTTGTCTGGAGTGATGAGTGAGGTTAGATTAATATGCCAATCACACTTAAAAACTCTAAATCCCATTTGGAAGCCTTCTACATTCGGGTATTTGAAGAAAGAACCAGAATAATTAGAGTCTGAAACCAATATATATTATCAATCAATTATAAAGTAGATGTTTTAAATAAACAAAATGAAACGATAGCATGGATCTAATAAGTGAGAATTTTTTTTTATAAACGCTCTGTATTATTTCATTGCTAAGGAAAGTAAGGGTTTTCTTAATGCAATGTATGAAGGAACTTTGACAATCTCATACGTGACGAGGGCAGTTGCAAGACCAAGAGCCGTCTTGAAGCAATGAGGTCGAATGCCTTTGTACAATCCCTCAACGCCTTCTTCCTCAATGATTTGGCCAAACATCTGCCATACTCCTCTCCTTCTCCTCCCCTCACGTTCTCGGCCGCCGTCTTCTGATTGCATTCTCTTTTGCACAAGATCGATGGGATATGTTGCTGCATATATATATTACCACAAAAACAGCAAAATCCACACGCACACAGTTATATTAATAGCTATGCATTGTGATGATGTATTCCAAGTGTTGTCAGTCAGTCATTTCTTATACCTGCCGACGCAGCTAGGCCAGCAATACTGCCGCCAACAATGGCGGTCATAGAAAAAGAACCATTTGGCCTGGAATCATAATTGTATCAAAAGTTAGACAAGGAACGCTGCAAAGCCATACATCAATAAAAACTAACATTGTGTGTAATGGCAAACAAGAAAAGTTTGGTTTCTTACCTTAGTCTACTCAGTGCAAATGAGAGACCTTCATATACAGTAAAAGTAATTGCCATGGATGGAACGATTCTCTGCACCACACAACAACAAGGAAATTTGCCATATATCTATGTTAATACTCGTAGGAGAAGCTACCAAGAAGCCAGCTGAGGTGAAATTCAAGAGAGCCCACCAATAATGAGGCCGACAGTCCAGCATATCGGGATCTCTCCTGACGTTTACTTTTACTTGGCTAGATCAATAATAAAGGCAGTAAAAGTAGTTAGTAAGAAAGAACAGCTGAATGCTCGTTCTAGCTAGTAAGAGTAGGATCGCCTAAATCAATTTCTTAACAATTAGGGCCGCAAATGAGCTATGTCGCTTGCGAGCAACTCGCGGAGTTTGAATCCAATAAACTAGTTCGACACTCGAGTCGTTATTTAACAAGCCGACTCGTTAGTAAACGAGCCAAGCTTGAGCTAGACCATCCTCGGCTTGATAAGCTCGTGAGCTAGCTTGACTCGGGGCTTGTTGAGCTACGTTCGCCAGCTGGTTTGTTTTGAGCTTGTGGAAGGATTAATTACTCTTAACACATGGACATTATCTTCTCAATACGGATGTATATGAAAGTTAACTATAATTTTTAGTTTATAGAGGGCTCTTTTTATCATCTAAATTCTAATGTTCACACATTTTTTTAGTAAGAATAATTTCAAATTGAGCTCATCTTGAGTCGAGCTTGTACTCAGCTTGATAAGTTGTGTTAATGAGCATTTACCAAGCTCTACCAAGTCGCGATCTTGAGCTAGATTATTTTTTATTCCAAGCCGAGCACAAGCTCGAGCTGAAAGTTATATAAACGAACCGAGCTCTAACATCAACAAAAACTCGACTCGCGGCTAGTTTGCAGCCTGGCCTATTAACCATAACATATCCCAGAGCTGGTAGGCAGCTAGTTACCTGTAGTGCAATTATGCGTGTTGTCAAGGTATCCAGAGGATGTGAAACAGAGGTGGCGGTGAATGCAGCCAATCCTCCACTCACAAGTGCCAAAGACGCAGGTTTCATAGCCACACTACTCCACTGCAAGCAAAAGTCATGCAGATAATAAAACAAACGAAAGAACACACAAATTTACGAGGATGGCCACTAATAGTGTTAGCTAATTCACGGACAAAAGAGATATACTTGAGAATATATACCATGAGTAGCGCCCTGAAACCAAGATAGGCAAAGATGTTGATGCTGTAAAAACTGAGACGATGAGCAATTGAAACCAAGTTGCCCCTCCAAAGCGCTGCATAGCGACCGCCCTCTTGCTCAACAATCTGAGCAGCCTGCTCTGACATGCTCCTCCTCCTCCTAATCCCGTCTTTCACGACCTCTTCTCCTTCACCTCCTAACATGCCGAGCTGAGAGAGTATAGTGATGCGGTTGAGGGGCGCGGTGCAGGTTTCGCTCAAGGCGATGGCGACGACACCAGCGACTGGGAACAGAAACAGATTGGTGAGCAGAGGGTCGAAGTTGATCCCACCAAAGAAGGCCTGCTCCTCCAAGAAGATGCGGCACCCCAGAAAAAAGCGGATGGTGACCGTGGCCTCTTCTTTCCCTATGCAGCTTCCGCACTTAGTGTGCCCACGGAGCAGCCGCCTTTGACGGCGTTCGAAGTCGATGAACTTCCAGTTCCAGGGGGTTTGATTCCTTATCTGTTCCAGAAAACGCTCTTGCTCGTAGTGGTCCAAAAGAAACTGCACGAACTCCAGCAGGCACAAATCCTCTTCCACCACGATGCCCCGGGGCATGTCGCTAGCTCACCTACGTACGTGTATATGAACGAACGATGAGAAAGAAACACACTTAGAATTCTAGCCCCCTGAAACACCAAAAAAGTATTCTAGCCCCCCGCCCTGAGATCAGGTAGGCATACTACTAAAGCCGTAGCAAATTTCTAGCAACTATTTTGAGTCGGAATAGGACAACTACTAATATGATGACTATTTAGGGACGGGCAGAACAAAATAATAACAATGAAAAGAAGACGACGACGTTAACGAACCTTGTAATTTCGGGCGAGGAAGGTGGATCTGAAATCGACCTAATTTCCGCCGTTTACTTCTCTGGTTAGGAATAGGATGGGGAAGAAGGGAACGGAAAAAGAAAAAAAAATAGAGTCGTCACTCGCGCGGATAAGAAAACCGCACTTCGGTGGGGCGATACTGGGCCAGATGTGTTGTATAAGTTGATGGGCCTGACATGAACTAAGGGGTTGTTTGCTTGTTCGATTTGGGTCATGGATTTGGTACCTAAATCCCAAACTTGATGGATTTAACATAAGTTCATTGTTTGTTGAAGGGTGCTAAATCCGTGGGGTCCACGGATTTGGTCTTTATTTTGGATTTGGGTCATGGATTTGAGTCATGAACTGGGGTCGTTTGCTTGTTGGATTTGGGTCATAGATTTGGTACCTAAATCCCAAACTTGATGGATTTAACATAAGTCCATTATTTTGAAACCAAATCCGTGGACCCCACGGACTTGTAAATCCCACATATTAATTTGGGATTTGCAAATCCTTGATGGTTAGTTATTTATTTAACAAATCCATCATCAAATCTATCATGCAAACATTAGACTCTTCAAATCCATAATCCAATAAATCCAACATAAATCAAAAGGTTTTTCTTAGCCAAAACCCTCATTTTTCAAATCCAACAAGCAAACGACCCCTAAAAAGGTGTTTAAAATAGGTTTAATTCATCTGCATAGGCATAACTTTCACGATTTTGACAAATATAGCCACTTTTCAAAAAATACACAGATATAGCCACACTTCTAAAACTAGTATGACAAATTTAGCCATTTCCTTCTAAAACAGTAATGTCCTTAGTGATTCCGTCAATAACGTAAGCATTATACCGATGTGGATGCCACATCAGCCTCCATATCAGCTCTTGCTCGCCACATCATATTTAAATTTTAAAATAAAATAAAAATAAAAAATTAGGGAGTGGGAAGCATCTTCTTTTTGATGGAGTGGGATGCCCAGATTTACTTCTCCGATAAATGATCTTCGATCCAACATGGTGCAGAGAACTTTCTGTTATTAATCGGTTTCTTTTTACTTTCGAGTTTAAGGAGTGGGAAGCATCTTCTTGACTTAACTTCCTTCTTGCCTCGTCCCTCCTTCCAGTGAAATCAATTTCTTTGAGTCTTCCTCGGAAACCCGATATCCCCCAAGCTTGACCACCACCATTACTCCTCCCACTCTATCGCCTCGCTTCACCTTGGGTCGTCTCGCCTCCCAATCAATTCCAATCTGACCCGACCAGAAGACTCTCTTCATCCTCTGAATCTACAGATAGTCCCAACCACGAGAAGACTCTCTTCATCCTCTGAATCTACAGATCTGGCACTATCTGGTGGTTGGAGAACAAGGCCCGATTGCATCTTGTTGCTGAGTACGAACAATTAGATTGTTTGTTGCTCAGTGTGAAATCGTCCTGCCTAAGAGGAAAGTTGAGCCAGCACATCGAGGAACTCAAGCATTCAAATCCTCTACTTCTATCTGGCCTTTTTAATTGCCATCGGGGAAGGTACAGTTGCGCCTCCAAAATCGTCTCCGCGTCATCATCGCTGGTGGGAAGTCTACGGTAGGTAGAGGGCGGCGGGGCTTAGTAATCGGAGAAGATAAAGGAGATGAAGAGAGACAGCATAATTTGCCCAAATCTCCAATTTCGACTGCAAAAACTGATGGAGAACGAGTTGTGGCCGAATTTCCAAGTTTCATCAGCGTCGATTGGATTCGGGATATGGGTTAGGGAGTTAGGAATCTGAAGCTTTTTAACTCTTGGTCTCCTGTTTGCAGATTTCCGATTGAGTTTTGGGGCTAAGGATATGAGGATTTTAAGGTTTGTGAATTATGTGGGGAAGTTTTATTTGATGGTTGTCTTTCAATGGCGGAGAAGCATCAGCACAAGAAGAAGATGGATGGGTGTGGGGTGGGACGGAAGGAGAGGATACGAAAGAAGAAGAAGGGGAAGAAGATGGATGGGTGTGGGGTGGGATAGAAGGAGAGGATACGAGGGTGAGGGTAGGTAGGTGAAAGGGTAAAGTAGCTTTTGTTTTTTTTTAATTAATGAAATTTAAAATATATTCCACCTGGCATTGCCACATCAATGAAAAATCACCATGTCACCAACAATCATTTGTCCAGTCAGCAGTTGTGATAGTGCCGTTAAATTTTTGGACGGAATGGCTATATCTGTGTATTTTTTGAAATGTGGCTATATTTGTCAAAATCGTGAAAATTATGGATATACAGGTGAATTAAACCTTTAAAATATATTGGAGTTAAATTGTAGCCCGATATAATTGTTTGCATGTTAGTACAAAGGGAAGAAAAGTTGGATGTGTTGTATAAGTTGATGGGCAGGACATGAACTAAAAGGTGTTTAAAATATATTGGAGTTAAATTGTAGCCCGATATAATTGTTTGCATGTTAGTGCAAAGGGAAGCAAAGTTTCACCGGAGTTTTATGTTATAAACAACATGCATTTGCCTATAGATTCAGGAATACAACTGAGTGTCATTGGTGCATGTTTTAAAAATTGAAGGAATATATTGTGCCTGGTATATAGATTGAAGACGTATACACTTGATAATACAACCAAATATGCAATTGAATGCACGCTAGTGGGTCGTAAGGAAAAGTTCCTCTCGAGTTTTAAGTTACAATTAAATATATTTGTCAAAGTTAAACAATACAACTGAGTATCATCTTGCATGATATAATTCTTTTTGAAGAACTATATACTTGATTATATAACTACGTATAATTTAGACATGGTATATAGTTGATAACAATTTATTTACTGGACGATAGATGCAATTAATTGCAATGGAAAATCAACATGTGAGAAGTGGACATGGTAAGCAAGTTAGTTAAATAATAATCAGAGAGTATGTTGATAATCGGCTTCAATAGATCGGATTCTTGAACTTTATGTGACTATCTCATGATATGTTTAAGCCGATTGGTGCTATTTTAAGGCTCGCTAATCCGGGAATGGTTGAAAAACCATTACTGCCTAGTGTCATAAGTTTGATGTATTACAGGTGAAGAAAGCACGAAAAGGGAGAAATTGTACATGCAAACAATCGGCTCGAATCACTGGTGGAATAACAATTGGGCCTAGGAGGAGCTTAGTGCGTGGAAACTTCTGGACCGGGACGGAATTAATGGGATTGGGAAGTTTAATTGGAGGTGGCATGCAGAAGGTGGGGTTAAAGCCCACAAAACTTGGTTTTGTAGGCGAGGAGGGACACAGAAGGGAATTAAATGGACACGGAGTTGGACGGGAATCAATTACTAGGCGAGCGAGGAGAATTCTTTGGAAAAGGAATTGGCGATTGCCGAACGAGTGCAGAGCAGCGGGAAAGAAAATTTCAGTATTTTTTTCCATTTGTTTTGATTCGTGACATGATGATTAAGAACATGATTATATCTTTTGATTTCGTCATGAACTAAATACCAATTTTTGGGAGAAACACCATAAGATGTAATTATTTTTTGACTTGATAGATTGATTCATATTTCTTTTCTTCCAATCTCTATTGCATGAAATTGTTTAATGCTTTGTGTTGACTGGCCACCAATACATTGATTTGTAGTTGATTAGGTTATTAGCAACAGTAAAACCCTAATAACTGAACATATTTCATGTGACATAGTAACTTATCGAAACGACAGTGGATTAAATAAGGTACTATGCGGTCTTGATTGGGATATAGGTCTTCAGGCTGAACAAATAATTCATTGAGCTACGACAGTAGGATTTGAGTTGATTGCTTAGTACGTGGTAATTCCCGACAGGGATAGCTAGCACAGTAGTGATATCTTGGCTGTAGAGATATGGATTAAACTGATTGGAATATGTGAATTAATTTTTATATGATAGGTAGTGAGTCCCAGTGTTTCTTCTAGAGCTTTCTCCATTGATTTCTCCCGACAACTTTAATTTGCTTGTTTTGTTTAATTATTTTGCTATTAGATAATAGTTTCACCATTCAAACCATTTCCACCTATAGTTTGCTTCATAAACTCGATAGAACATAAGGTTGTACCAGTCCCCGAGAGACGATACCCGGATTTCCGGTTTACTACGAGATAGGATTAAGGCATACGCTTTTGCCCTATCAAGTTTTTGGCGTCGTTGCCGGGGAATGTCATACCTTATTTTTGTTGATTTTTATGAGTGAATTATTTTGATCTGTGTGCTAGTGTGCAGGTGAATTTCAGGTTAATCCTTTTTTTGCATGCCTAGGAGGACAACCAGGGATTTATTACCACTAGACCCGGAGATCGAGAAGACTTGCCGACAGAATAGGAAGCAGGTCAAGTTAGAGAAGCAACCAACCACAACTCCTAGACCTTCCCTAACCCATAATCATCAACAGAGAGGGCAAGCTTCATCACTTGTCGTCCCTACACCACCGCCACCGCGCATCATTGAGCCTGTCATCATGGCAGAGGAGGATCGTTCGATCAGGGCCCTTGAATCGAAGGACTGGAGCTCGAGCTTCATGTGTTGTCATTCTGGCTGGGGATGCAACCATGGAGATTACCCCAGCATTTATCAATATGATCACCAACGGGTACACTTTCTCCGGGGCTAGCACTGAGGATCCTCACGAACATCTTCGTCGGTACGCGAGCATATGTGATACGATGAAGAGCCCGACTGTGTCTGATAATGCAATCCGCCTACAGATGTTCTCATTCTCTCTATTAGGGAATGCATGTTTGATAATTTTTTCAAAGTACAGGGCATGTTTGATATAAAAAGTAGTAAAGGGGCTTATTATACCTATAACCTTATTTTTAAGATAAAAGTGTTAAAACTATTAATAACAAATGGTGAATTTAAATGTTTATGAATATGTTCATGAGAAAAAGTATAGGAAAAATAACCACCTGCCCAGGGTCCAAGCTAGTATTTAAATATTCTAGTTTGACTAGACACACATTTACAGTAAAACCCTTAGATGACTAATTTTTATGGTTTTAAAAATTCAATACAAACATAAAATTAGGTCGTACAAAATTAGTATAAATTAAATAATTTTTACGTCCAATTGTTTTAGTTGTGAAAAAAACAAGACAACCATAAAA